GGTAAAGCAAGGTTTAACTGTTATTAACTATTTCATAAGTAGAGTGTAACTCTCAGCTTGTTGATCCTGTACTAGGGATATAATAATACCCACTTTGCCATTAACTTCTTGTTTGTGTTATGACTCCTTTCCTTTCCTTTTTTCTTTTTCCTGATTTTGTTTTTTCTTGTTTCCCTTTTCATATGATGCTCAACAACTTGTTGATACACCTTTTAAACGGATGCAAGTGGTGAGAGTATGGAGAATGCTTTAAGAGCATGTTGTAAAGGTATCAAGATAGGGAAGATTCTTATTCATAGGGAAGGTGACAATGGTCAGCAGGTATGCAAAGTTCCTTCCCTCTTTTCTTTGTGTGTCTCCATTTCTGTATTAAGTTCTGAACTTCTATTGGTGTAATGCTTTTCCAGCTAATCTATGAGAAATTGCCGCAAGACATCTCAGAGAGGCATGTATTATTATTGGATCCTATTCTAGGGACAGGTTAGTTTTTTTAATGGTAGAAAATCTGAATCTTGTTACTTTTACATGCTTTACATTTTTCACTTTTCTTCACCTTTGTTAATGCTTTTGATTTAGTACTCATTATAGCCCGTGTGTTTTCATTTGCAAGTTCTTCCTCTGATATAGGGTAAAAGCCAATTGACCGGCTAGGATTAAACAAATACAAATGTCATTCTTTTTACGTTTAATCTTTATAGGTAACTCGGCTGTTCACGCTATTTCTTTACTTATAAGCAAGGGTGTGCCGGAGTCCAACATTATATTTCTCAATCTCATATCTGTAAGTAAAGTTAAATTCTTCAGTCCTGTTTAATTACTATCTCATTCAATGTTTCCTTTTGGAATTCCCCTTTCTGATGACTTTATTTGGAGATATTCTCATCCATGCTACAATTTTTCTCTGAATTTCACCAGGCACCTCAGGGTGTGCATGTGGTTTGTAAACGTTTCCCGAGAATAAAGATTGTGACTTCCGAGATTGATATTGGTTTGAATGAAGATTTCCGTGTCGTTCCTGGCATGGGCGAGTTTGGAGACCGGTATTTTGGTACGGATGATGATGACCAACAAATGTCAACCCCCCCTTTTTCCTCCACCACAACAGTTTAACTAGCCTGCCAGTCATTTCTCAGATGATCATCATCCGCAGAAGTTGAAAATCGACATTTTTAACTTTGTTGTGTGGGCATCATGTTTTCTTTTTTCAACAATTTTGATTTCGTCGAACCTAGAGTTTCATTTTTGGATATCCTTTTTCTTTTTTTCTTCTTTCTGAAACATTTTGAGTTACATTGGGGGGTGTTTGAGTACATTTCTTTCAAGTTCATAAATACAATAATCTACCAGGGGTTAAAAATACCAACACTCATTAGTTAGTGGGTTTTCTTCTTTTTGCCTTTGTTATACCGCTACTCAACCCCCATATAGAAATTGCTTTGCATTCGCTTGGCTTATAAGAGGAGGGACACAAAATCAAACTGCTTGACAAGCCTCCCTCTGATATATGTATTTATGAACCAAAACATTTATACAATTCCATGCTACAGTTTTGAACCCCGGATCATTTTTCGCTTGTTCATTTATTATTTTCAACATTTTTCTTCTCCGTTGATCGAATTTGCCTATCGGGGCCTGTATTGATTCTCATATATAATGCTTGAACAATAAGTTTGTAGAAAAAATTTTGTGGCTGAGATGCTGAAATTAGTAGCATCCATAAATTGCCCTTTTGTATGTTATGCAATTAATTGAGGGATGAGCTGAGCTTTTCCACACAATATTTTCAGGTTTATGTGAGCAGGATAATAGTTATAATAGTTTATATATCTTAAGTTCTTAACTGGATAGAGGCCACTTGGCTAAGAGAGTGATCACACATTGCTTTATCCGAGGATGATAACCTTCGTTGGGCTAGTCTTTTGACACGTGTTGATGCATGGGGTGGCTTGGATTTTGTTGGTATATTCCATGCTAGTTGATCTATATAGTGTGGTGCTTGTGTAGTTTGTTTTTGCGTTTTCGTCCTCTACGTATTTATCCTTCTTTCCAACTCCATCACCTTAAGCTTTAACCATGTCTGCCTTTGTGGGAAAGTATGCAGGTATTTTTTCTCTTTTATCTCTTTCTCTGTCAGCTTTATAGAACAACTTTCAAAAGATCATTCTCATTCAAGTCTGGTCTTTCATGCATGTGTTATAAGGACTGGCTACGTATTTAATTCATGAAATAACAAGAAGCCGTGTTCCGACGAAAGTATATCTTCAGTAGGATTGATGCATGTGCGTTTGTTCGACACGATGCATATATAAGTCCTCTTTATAAGAGGGAATTTGTCAAATTTAAAGGAAACAAATATCAGGATACGTAATGAGATTATTCTTAGGCTTTTAGATAAATTTGAGGTAAATTTGAGTGATGTTACGAGTTATTGGTGTACCCTTTTGCCTAATAAGAAACTACAAATGATGATAAGATTCAATCGTCTTCTTTTGTAAAATCAAATAAGGCAATGCATTAAGGAGTCCAATATTGTGACCTGAACTTCAATACAAGGCTAACAATATCAGCGTTAACGTTCCAGATGAACTTATCAAGAATGCCAAGTACATTGCCACTCCGGGGAAGGGTATTCTGGCTGCGGATGAGAGCACAGGCACCATCGGGAAGCGCCTGGCGAGCATCAATGTCGAGAACATCGAATCCAATCGCCAGGCCCTCCGCCAACTCCTGTTCACCTCTCCAAACGCCCTCTCTTTCCTCTCAGGAGTCATCCTGTTTGAAGAAACTCTTTACCAGAAAACTTCAGATGGGAAACCCTTTGTTGAAGTCCTCCAGGAGAACAATGTAATTCCAGGTATCAAAGTTGATAAGGGCACTGTTGAATTAGCTGGAACAAATGGTGAGACCACGACGCAAGGGTTTGATTCGTTGGGAGCTCGGTGCCAGCAATACTACAAGGCTGGTGCAAGGTTTGCAAAGTGGCGTGCAGTGCTGAAGATTGGCCCCAATGAGCCATCCGAATTGTCAATTCAACAAAATGCACAGGGCTTGGCTCGTTATGCTATTATTTGCCAGGAAAATGGATTGGTCCCTATTGTTGAGCCTGAAATTTTAACTGATGGAAGCCATGACATCAAAAAATGTGCTGCTGCAACTGAAACTGTTCTTGCAGCTGTTTACAAGGCTCTGAATGACCACCATGTCCTTCTTGAAGGCACTCTCCTGAAACCTAACATGGTCACTCCAGGCTCTGACAGCCCAAAGGTAACATTTACTACTACAAATATTCTTAATTTCTTATGGTTTCACTCTGTACCACAAGAAAGTACTGACCTCTAACATTATGTTGTTTCTCAGGTGCCAGCAGATGTGATAGCAGAGTACACAGTGACAGCACTTCGCCGGACAGTCCCACCAGCGGTGCCGGGGATCGTGTTTTTGTCAGGTGGGCAAAGTGAAGAAGAGGCAACGGTGAATCTAAACGCAATGAACAAGCTAGAAGTGCTGAAGCCATGGACACTTTCATTCTCGTTTGGGCGAGCATTGCAGCAAAGCACACTCAAGATATGGGCTGGAAAGAAGGAGAATGTGGGCAAAGCTCAAGAGGGATTCTTGGCAAGGTGCCAGGCCAATTGTGAAGCCACTCTTGGGAAATATACTGGTGGCAATGCAGGTGGATTGGCCTCTGAGAGTTTGTATGTGAAGGGTTACAAATACTAGAGGCCTCTCTCTCTCTCTCTCTCTCTCTCTCTCTCTCTCTCTCTCTCTTTATATATACATATATATGTGAAAATGTTCTATGTTGAATGTAACTTGTATTTAATTCTCTTCTCTTTAACTATGCTTACTTTTGTCACGTATTAATTCTACAAATTGTTGTCAACATTTTAAGAGTTGATTATATATTTTTTCAATCGATTTTCTTTTAGAAAAATCAAACAATCGGGTTAAAACAATATCACACAACAAATAAAAATTGAGACACAAAATTTACGTAGAAAACTCTCAAACAAATTGAGAGAAAAACCACAGACAAGTAAAGAAAGATTTCCACTATAGCAAAATATGAGTTATAACAACTTCTCTCTAAATACAAAGAGAAAAACAAATAAAATTCACTCTTGAAATATGAGAAATAACTTTTTGCTACAAGAAAAGGAATGAGAAAATTCTAAAAGTGATAACTCGTCTCTATTGAGTTCCTACACTCCTATTTATAGAAGTGCAATTTCTTGGCTTGGCAATTAATATTTCTCACCGTCTTTGATAGCCACCATCTTTGACCGTTTAAGTTTTAAAAAGTGAGTTTACAACTCACATTTCTCTTTTCATGGAAACTTCGTTAATGACAATTATTTAAAATATCAAAGAAGAATTTATAATAAAAAAAAAGAATATAGAATATCAAATCAGGGAAGTAACAAATATCGAATCTTACTTTTGTAGAATAATAATGTGAGTTAAAACAAAGAGACCTAAAACAAAATAGATAGTGTGGACTTGAAATTTAAAAGTAAATATGTAAGGGTTTAATTTTAGAGCGACAATATCTACTTGGTTAACTATCATTAAGTGATCGGATGAGATGATATGAACTCTTGGATGTATTACTTAAGAGGTCTTGAGTTCGATTCTCTTTGGTTACTAGTAAAGATGATCATTGAAGGGTTTATTTGATCGTTAACTTCAGAATTTCGAGAGATTAGTCGAGGTATTACTTGATTGAAGTATGAATCTACCAATACTTTGCCTCTAGACTTTTACAAATTTGTTTTGGGTTCACGTAAACATCTTTCACCCAAATATTTCTAGTGAATTAAGAGACGAATTAGGGATTTTGGATGTGAGATTGTGACTCCATTTTTGCAATAAAATTGTATTTTAGCATTTCCTAATTGTAAATACCAAGTCAAAGTAGAAAAGAAAGACTTAAGAGACGTGGTGGGAAACTTCCTAGATCGATGACATCTTTGATTGCGTTAATAAATAGGCTAAAAGGGAAACTTACATGAGTAGGGTACAATTGGATTGGTTGAATTTATTGCATGATACCTACTCCTTGTACCAATCTTCTACACAAAGACTTTTGATCTTCTTTTGCAAAACCCCCAAAAAAATTATATAGAAAGAAGAAACTTAATCTTTGCATCCAAAGCTCAATCTTTCTATGGCTCACAACGTCAAGTCCTCCACCTCCACCACCACCACCGCCAAGTACTCCTCCTCCACCACCAGCAGCAGCAGCAGCAGCAGGAGGTCCACCACTAAGCCCAACACCAGCACCAACAAAATAGACCATGGCCAAAAGCATAAGAAGATTGTAACTTCTTCATCAGCACCAAAAGCTCAAACCAGTCACGGCACACACCACCACCACCACCACCACCACCACCAGGAGGTCCACCACCACCACCATCATCATCAACAAGTATCAAAGCCAAAAGCGCCAGGACGAGCCCTCACTCAACCAAAGCCTAAAGTAGCCATGGCACATGCCGCGGCCACCATCAAATCCACGACCACCGAGGCCACCATCAACTTAGGACATGGAGTAGGACTCAAAGTGGTAACCAAAGAAACAGTATTCAAAGGTGGAAAGATAGCTTATAACAATTAATGGAATTCAAGTTCTCAATTTATAAAGGTAACAAAGTAAAAAAAAACTATTTTTTCTGAAGTTTTTATATATGTATATAAATTTCCCGTTTAATACTTCTTTAGTTGACTGAATGAAAACTGTGTTTGCATATTCAGGAGTTGGATGCTGCAGATATGAAGCAATCTTTTGCAGAATCTGTACTCGGATTCATCAGAACTTGTAGCATGTTAGGAGATTATGTTGAGTTTGTTTTTTTTTTCGGTTGTACTTGGTGAACAAAATAATAGAATTATCTCATTATGTTGAGTTTTTTTTTTTAAAGTTTCTAATCCAACGCAATGGTAGGTGAAATTGCAGTGCCATAGAATTTCTCTAGCTCCTTTATTCATTGATCATTACGTTTCAGCCCGTCCACACCTCCACCAAATCATCCACCGTCCACACCTCCATCAAAACCTCCACCTTGGCCAGAACCACGGTGGCCTGGAAAAAAATAATTTATGTACAACATAATCACCTCCCAACTTAAAAATTCTCAAATCATTTTTCCCAACTCAAATTCTCAGTTGCTCTACTCAAATTAAAATACAAACTCAGAATTTTTTTTTTTTAGTAATCCAGTAATCTTATAGAAAAAGGAAGGGACTCCCCTCCAACGAAAACACCTTGGGGCAGGCCAAGGCAGCAACAAAACAAGAAGCAAAAAGGATAGTTCCTTTACAATCAAAGGATCTTGTGAAGGAAAGATCCTTTACAAGAAAGAAAACTTACAGACACAAACATAAGCAAAGAAAAGACAGCATGCCCAAGAGGACCTAATGCAGCGAATCTGCAACCAGCACCTAGCAAAACTCCACAGTCCAGCTATCCCCCTTTATGCCACCTACAATCATCATAATACAGAGTGGTTCTCCTCCAAAAACGCAACACGAACTGCAAGCGGAAGAATCAGCCATTTCCTTCACCATTCTGCCTAAGCCTAACCAAACAAAGCAAAAACAAAACATAGGCATTCCTGTGAAGAGCTTCCACAACAGACAAGCACATAACTTGGTTTATTCAAGGATTTACTTCACATTTAAACAATAGAAGTGATGTAAAACAAAGTAGATAATATTAAGAGTGATGCTATGGGTACTAACGGATGGGTACTAATCTGTGTACTAACTAAAGCATAGTACCCGTACTATGCATATAGTACCCGTACTATGCTTTAGTTAGTACACAGATTAGTACCCATTCATTAGTACTCAAAGTATTATTCTAATATTAACATGAAACTTAAAAGTAAATCTGTGCGGGTTTAACTTTAAAGCGACAATATGTACTTGATTAACCATCATTGGGTGGTCGGATGAGACGGTAGAGACTTTTCAATGTATTATTTAAGAGATCTTGAATTCGATTCTTCTTGATTACTAATAAGGTGACCATTTGAGGGTTTAGATGTGACATTGTGACTCCACTTTTGTAATGAAATTGTATTTTAGCATTTTCCTAAATTAAATACTAAATACCAAGTCAAAGTAGAAAAGAAAGACTTAGGGTTTGCTTACGAGTTTTTTTCCCTTTGGTTTTGAGGGGTTTTTAATTAGAGTGGTTTTGAAGTGTTCTAAATTTATTACTTGTCAGATTTTTTTATGCACTAGTTTTAACTGGTTCAAAAACTCCCTAAAACCGATGTAGTGTATTTTTTAGGGGTTTATAAAATAACCTAAATCGGAGTGTTTTAGTTGGTTTTAAAATTTTATTCCACAAATATCCTATCTACTACAAAACTATCCCAATTATATCTAAACAAAAAAATTAACCATATTATGTGCTCTCCATCCATATTAAATATAAAATAATTTTAAGAAATCATAAATTTTTTTTTTTATTAAAATCTCATTTCTAGATGCTTTCTTGGAAAAGTGAAGCTATAATTTTTCAATGATTCCAAGTGCTACAAAGAATGACGAAGAAGGATAAAAAGACTTTATCACATTTGAAGTTACAAAATGCTAATAAGTAGAAAACAAATAAAGAATCCTTACCTTGTAATTGAAAAAACAAAGCTCCCAAGTATTGGTTGAAGTTAGGGTATTCTTATGGGTATACATGTAAATTTATCATTTTAAAAAACTGTAAGAACCATTGAAAAATAAATTCCCAAGCATATGTTAGGTGTTTTTAAAAACCGTTACTAAAAACTCCTCAAAACCGTTATGATAGTTTACTCTCAAAACTGCTACGGTGGTTTATCCTCATAACCGCTACTATGAAACTCCTAAGCAGACCCTTCTGCTTAGGAGTTTTTTTCCACTAGTTTTGAGAGGTTTTTAATTAGACTGGTTTTGAGGTGTTCTAAAACCATTACTTGCTAGATTTTTTATGTACTGATTTTGACAGGCTCAAAAACCCACTAGAACTAGTGTAGTGTATTTTTTAGGGTTTATAAAACACCCAAAATCAGGGTGTTTTATTTGGTTTTAAAATTTTTTTTCACAGATACCCTATCCACTACGAAACTATCCCAATTATATCTAAAAGAGAAAAAATTAACCATATTATGTGCGTCTTCAACCATATTAAATATAAAATAATTTTAAGAAATCATAAAAAAAATTATTAAAATCTCATTTCTAGATGCTTTCTTAGAGAAGTGGAGGTACAATTTTTCAATTATTCAAGATGCCGCAAAGAATGGCGAAGAAGTATAAGGAGACTTTATCAAATCTGAAGTTACAAAATACTAATAAGTAGAAAACAAATGAAGAACCCTTACCTTATAATTGAAAAAACAAAATTCCAAGTACTGGTTGAAGTTTGGGTATTTTTATGAGTAAATATGTAAATTTATTATTTTAAAAAACTGTTAGAACTGTTGGAAATTAAACTCCAAAGCACAGGCTGTGTATTTTAAAAACCGCTACTAAAAACCTCTCAAAACTGCTATAATGATTTACTTTCAAAACCACTAGATAGTTTACCATAACCTGTACCATGAAACTATCAAGTGGACCCTAGAGAAATGGTGGGAAACAACCTAGATTGATGGCATCTTTGATTGCTTTAATAACAGGCTAATAGGGAAACTTAAATAAGAAGGCTACAATTTCATTGGATTAATTTATTGCATGATATTCACTTATACCAATCTTCAACACAAAGCCTTTTGATCTTCTATTGCAAAACCCCAAGAAAATTATATAGAAAGAAGAAACATTTAATCTTTGCATCAAAAGCTCAGTCTTTCCATGGCTCATAACTCCAAGTCCTCCACCTCCACCACCGCCAAGTACTCCACCACCACCACCACCACCACCACCACTAAGCTCACCACCACCCCCAACAAAATAGACCATGGCCAAAAGCATAAGAAAATTGTAACTTCTTCATCAGCACCAAAAGCTCAAACCAGTCAAGGCACACACCACAACCACCAGGTTCACCATCACCACCACCACCACCACCCTCACCATCATCAACAAACATCAAAGCCAAAAGCTCCACGAAAAGCCCTCACTCAACCAAAGCCTAAACAAGCCGTGGCACATACCCCGGCCACCATCAAATCCACCACCGCCCAGGCCAGCTTCAAGTGGGGACAAGGAGTAGATGTCAAACTGGTAACCAAAGAAGCAGTATTCAAAGGTGGAAAGTAGCTTATATCAATTAATGGCATGCAAGTTCTCAAGTTAAAAAGGTTATCACAAAACAAAACAAAAAAAAAAAAAAAAAAAACTTTTTTTCTGAAGTTTTTTATATATGCATAGAAAGTTTCTGTTTAATATTTCTTTAGTTGACTGAATGAAAATTGTGTTTTCATATTCAGGAGTTGGATGCTACAGTTGTGAAGGAATCTTTTGAAGAATCTATACTGGGATTCATCAGAACTTGTAATATGTTAGGAGATTACGTTTTGTGTGTGTGTGTGTGTGTTTGTACTTGGTGAACTAAGTAACAGAATTATCTCATTATAACTGTGGTTACTGGTTCCAATGCCTTCTAAATGAAATGACAATTTGTTCTTCAAAACTTTAATTTGTAACTTTCTCAGTGAAATGAAATCAAGTTTCTAATCCAACGCAATGGGAGATGAAATTGAAGTGCCATAGAATTTCTCTGGCTCCTTTATTCATTCATTATTACATTTTAGCCCCCCGGAATAAAATTTTCTGCTACTTATGAGATCGTGTTCTTTTAATATTTTCTGGCAACTCTTCATATGCCAGCAGCTTACTCCCAAGTCCCATATTCAAAAGGAAAACGAAAGCACATTATTGAAAGGTGTCGGTTTCTATAGATGATAAATTTTGGTCTTAATCTTTTGTTTTTGATCAAGTCAAACAGACCCACATCTGAGAAGTATGACAGCTTTGGTAACATTACCTTAGCTTCCAGTAACAAAGCTACTCTCTCACAGATATAATAAATTAATCCCAAGATGATGCAAGAATCGGGGAGGTAGCTGACGTTGTTTTAACAATTTCTTCTTGGCGTCTTTTGTAGTTCACTGCATAGTAATATGTGAAAAGCAGAATGTGTGAAATAAATATGTTGGGGAACTTTGTCGCTGTTAAAACCGTGTAGACTCCACCACCTGCCACAAAGTTTGAGGATTGATTGCTTTAATAATAGAGGCTCAAGGGGCAACTTAAATAAGAAGGTTACAATTTGATTGGATGAATATATTGTATGATGATTATACAAATCTTCAACACAAAACCTTTTGATCTTCTATTGCAAAACCCCAAAAAAATTGGGTCCATTTGGTTTGTAATTTTGAATAGGATTTTAAAAATAATATTGAATAGTTGAATAGAGTGATTATTACGAGATAAAATTTAAAAATTAATAAAAAACAATATAAGTTTGCTAATTTAACTAAACACCCTAATATATAATTTTTTTATAAATGACAAAAACACTCACACCCACCCACAGTGCCAGATTTTGGCCACCACCACTGGAATCTGATTAGAATCTAGTGTTATGATGCAAACCGGTCGGATCTGACCGGACGTGCATCGATCTGACCTTTTCCGGCAGAATCCACTATAGATTTGGCCTTTTCCGGCCAGATCTACCACATATCTAATCGGAAAATGCTAGATTGACGGTCATATCTCAGATCTAGCCGTCAACGACGGCCAAATATATGGTCGTTGTTGTCGGTCAACGAAGGCTAGATCGGTGAATTACCGACCAGTTCCGGTTGTTTGTAAGCCGTTGTGACAGATTCCGGCTAGTACCAACGGTGATTGCCGGAATCTGGCAACTATGGGTGGGTGGAGGTGTTTTTGTTAATTTTAAACTTTTTTTCTGGGGGTGTTTAATTAAATTAATAAACTTAAAGGGTCTAAAAGTAATTAAAAAAATATAATAATATTTCCTAAATAATTAAAAAAATAATTATTTTGGGAATAGGGTATGAAATAATAAATCAAACGGACCCAAAGGACTTTTTCCCACCCAAAAAATGGCTTAATGGTACTTTCTCACTCATAGACTTTTAAAATACCACTTTACCACCCAAATTATAAATTTGTTAGTAATTTTTATTATGACGAAGGATAGAATAGTCAAAAGCTAGGTAAAAGGAAGGGTAGAATGGTCATATTACCGCTTTGGCCTGATACCTTCTCAAACCCTAATCGCCGGTTTAGGCGGTTCGGCATGATTCCGACGTCATTGATCAGCGTTGTCTCTACCTTCAGCTTCCCCATCCTTCATTCACAAAAACCACTCATTTTCCCACCACACCAAGCGCGCCAATCATAGGCCACCATTGGTTTTTTGTTCACGTGACCATTGAGCTTCTAGGCCAGATTTTGATCGATTTGGTTGCCAAAAATTCCACCTGAAGCCACTTGTAGCATCAACGACACCTCCTCTCTAAAAGCCCCATCATCTTAGACCTTGGTTGTTCACCATTCATCGAACACCAACCATTCAATAAAAGAACTAAACCACGACCGCCAACGATTTGAGAACTACCAAGGTTCAGATTGTTAGGGTTATTGAAAAGGGATGACCGATGATTCGTTTAGTGGTAGAAGGTTAGATTATGGTTGTCAAAGTTGATTGGAATCGTGCGCAAAAGTTTGATTTGCGGTGGTTGGCGATTAGGGATTGAAATTTGGTGGGGTTATTTTTGTCTTTGCAATCAAAATTATTGTATTTAAAGGAAATTATTAACAGAGTTTGTATTTTGGGTAGGAAAGTATTATTTTAAAAGTCTCGGGTGAGCAAGTGCCATTAAGCCATTTTGTTGGGTGGGAAGAAGTCCTTTGCTCAAAAAATTATATAGAAAGAAGAAACATTACTTTGCATCAAAAGCTTAGTCTTTCCATGGCTCATAACTTCAAGTCCTCCACCTCCACCACCGCCAAGTACTCCACCACCACCACCACCAGCAGATCCACCACTAAGCTCACCACCACCCCCAACAAAATAGACCATGGCCAAAAGCATAAGAAAATTGTAACTTCTTCATCAGCACCAAAAGCTCAAACCAGTCAAGGCACACACCACCACAACCAGGTCCACCATCACCACCACCACCACCACCATCACCATCATCAACAAACATCAAAGCCAAAAGCACCAGGAAAAGCCCTCACTCAACCAAAGCCTAAACTAGCCATGGCACATGCCACGGCCACCATCAAATCCACCACCGCCAAGGCCACGATCAAGTTGGGACAAGGAGTAGATGTCAAAGTGGTAACCAAAGAAGCAGTATTCAAAGGTGGAAAGATAGCTTATATCAATTAATGGCATGCAAGTTCTCAATTTATAAAGGTATCAAAAAAAACCTTTTTTCTGAAGTTCTTATGTATGTATAGAAATTTTCTGTTTAATATTTCTTTGGTTGACTGAATGAAAATTGAGTTTTCATATTCAGGAGTTGGATGCTGCAGATGTGAAGGAATCTTTTGCAGAATCTATACTGGGATTACAGAACTTGTAATATGTTATGAGATTATGTTGAATTTTTTTTTTTTTTTTGTTGTTGTTGTTGTTGTTGTACTTGGTGAACAAAATTAGAGAATTATCTCATTATATTAGCAGACGTTTGACGGATCTTGTAGATTTGATTTAGCAAGGCAGTTTTTCCGACTCCCCCTTTCCCATACAGGCCAATAATCTTCACTTGATCTTCTTCATAACATCTCCAAACTTCATGAAATTTTGACTCTAAACCCACCGTTAGTTCAGAAGGTATTTGATCATACATTGGATCATCCTTTCTCTGATCAGCCACCTCCTTAAATTCTCTACCTTTTTCCTTCAACTCACTCACAACTTCCAGCTTTTGAGCAACTCTCTTCCCGAACCTGAAGCTTGCAAACTTGTAGTTTTTGTAACAAAAGCCTCCAAGACATAACCTCTCAACTTCATCAGAGCTGTCTGTAATCAGTTTATCAACATCGCTTTCTGTCTTTTCCACCCTCGTAAACCACCCTTGCACTTTGTCCAGCCGTTCCCTTTGTGGTAGTTGTTCCTCTTTTTTAACTCTCCGAAACACATCGTTCCTTGCATCACTCAATATTTACAATTCAGTAAGTAAGGTATCAAGATTTTTTTTGAGTTCACGTTTATACTATAATTTTTTAGAAACATAATCTATACAATTTAATAAAGGGGCAAGAATTGTGTCATCAGCTGGTTGTGGGATTGAATTGCAGTTAGCCATAGTGGATAAGATTTCTAATATATAGGAGAGGGAGTAGAGAGTGACGAGTTACAGGCAGTTGAAAGATTCAAAGGAAGAAGCACTAGAGAGAAGTAGAAGATGAAGAGCATGTAAGGGAAAGGACAAAGCTTCTCAGGTCTTGAGAGGAAGCCTTGACAAACTGCCATGGTGGTGGATCACATAGCTACCATGAGGACTAAAGTTAATTTGAGACTGTAATTTATCTTTTAATCACTTATAAGTTTAAAAATAATCAACTTTGAATAAAATCCAAGAAGTGTTTATTTTATTTAATTTCAAGATAATTTTTGCTTATAAGAGAGAGTAATATAATTAATATTCATAAAACATAATAGTCTATTAAATTAGCAACGTGACATAAATACAACTTCTAATATCTCTTCTCAGGTTTGATGTACATAGTTAGGGTTTGTAACACACCATTTCTAACACTCTCCTTTACACTCGGTGTGCACAACCAGGGTCTCGCAAACCCATCACCACGTTCCTTCTCTCACACTTGACGTGCACGACCAAGGTGCACAAACCCACCATCAACCCAAAGAAACGTGGCTCAATACCTATGGGTGCGTTTGTTTGTCTATTTTTCCCTATCCTATTCGTATAATTTCTAAAATACACATTTGTTTCCCTATTCTGAAAATACTATAATATTTTATTCAATCTTTTTAACCTCCTAAGTTTGTTAATTTAACTAAACACCCCCAAAAAAAGTTTAGAAATTGACAAAAAAAGGCCCACCCACTCACATTTGCCAGATTCCGGCAACCACCGTCGGAAGGTGACCGGAATCAAGTGTAATGGTATACTACAAGTTGGATCTGGTCGATAGTGCAGCGATATAGCCTTTTTCGGCCAGATCTACAGTCAAAGATATGGCCGTCAATAACAGCCATATCTTTGGCCGTCATTGATGACCAAACGCAACTAGATCTGACCGTCAATGGCCAGATCTAGTTGTAGATCTGACCTTTTCCATCCAAATCCACAGTGGATCTAGCTAGAAAAGGCCATATCGGCACACAATCGGCCATATTCAACCGGTCATGTACCAATACAGCGACTCTGACCACCCGTCGGTGGTCGCGGCCAAGCTGTCGGTATTTAATGGGTGGGTGGGGGTGTTTTTGTACTTTTTAATGTTTTTATTACAGGAGTGTTTAGTAAATTAACAAACCTAGGGCGGTGCTTTTGCTAATTTTTAAATTCTACATCGGTATTATCACTCAACTCTTACTTTTCAAAATACTAAAACAAATGCGCCCATTGATCATTGCATTAAGGTTTATGTTTTTCACGTTGTTAGGGCCAAAAAATGTCCTTGGCCCAAATAGGGTAACACTTCTGACAAAGAGGAAAGCCTGGGCCTAGTCCCGATGCGGCCCAAGGTAGAATTCCCTAGATGAGGCCCATTCGGTATGAAGTGCAGTCAGTCCATACAATTTGGACCCAGGCCTCCTGATCCTAGCACACCCTCTGGGCTTATGGTCATATTCGGAGCCCACAGTCACCTACGGATTACACTCCTACTTGAACTCTGATAAGGAAATCGACTACTATCCCAATTCCTGCAAGGTCCATATCCGAGTCATGCTTGAACTCCTTTTCACGCCAAGATAAGGGGACCAAATGATACACCACTGAGAGGAACGATTACTACGAGGACTCCCAATCCCACTAGGATTGGGAAACCATACAGTCATTATTTAAACAGAGGTCAACCCTCTCACAAGGAAGATTCCATTACACCCTCAGACCCTGAAGTTCCTACCTTTGAGAACTTCGCATTACAGTCGTAGTCACAGTCCCCGACTAGACTTCCGGTAACCTTTCTTCTCCCTAGCCCTCACTAAATTTGTCTCATTCGGCCTTGTTGACTTAAGCGTTGGAGTGCCTATGGCAAACACCACCCTGGTGTTTTCCGTCGCTTCATGTTTGTTTTCTTACATGTGCAGGTGCAACAGATCGCTAGTGGCCTCAATCTCACGGGATCAGACCCTCTTTTCGTATAGGTAGATTTTTACGTCTACACACGTTTATATATTTGGATAAAATGACGTAATTATCCTTTAATTATTGTTTGAAATTATTATTCAGTCCTTCTACAGTTGAAGTTAACGGAAAAATTGGATGGATGGGTGGAAAACAGTCATTTTGAAACTTTTTGGGTAGAAATATTAGGCCAAGCCTTGGGTGAGAACTTTCCGTTCGCCCATTAAAAGATTGATTTTAGGATTGGGGGACAGTGATCAGGCAATGGCCCAATAAATGAAGTTTTCCATGGCCCCCCTCATTTTCTGAACTTGACATTTGACCCCATAATGGAACTTTTCTGGCTCCTCAGATCATTGATATAACTTACTCCTAAGGAGACCGAATTCTTTTGATATTTTCTGGCAACTTTTGACATGCTAGCAGCTTACTCGCATATTCAAAAGGAAATGAAAGCACACCATTTCTAGCACTCTCCTTTACACTCGGTGAGCACAACCATGGTCTCGCAAACACATCACCACGTTCCTTCTCTCACACTTGACGTGCACGACCAAGGTGCACAAACCCACCATCAACCCAGAGAAACGTTGCTCGATTCCTATGGGTGCGTTTGTTTCTCTATTTTTGTTCTATTCTATTCTTATCATTCCTGAAATATATATTTGTTTCCTTATTATGAAAATATTATTATATTTTATTCAATAATTTTTAAACCCCTAAGTTTGTTAATTTAACTAAACACCCCTAAAAAAGTTTAAAAAATAACAAAAACACCCCCACCCACTCACATTTGCCAGATTTCGTCCACTACCATCAGAAGGTGGTCGAAATCAAGTGTAATGGTGCACTACAAGTTGGATCTGGCTGATAGTGCACCGATATAGCCTTTTTCAGCCAGATATACTGTGGATCTGGCCGAAAAAGGCCAAATCTTTGGCCGTAGCTAGTCGTCAACAATGGCCATACCGTTTGCTGTCGTTGATGACCAAACACAATCAGATCTGACCATCAATGGTCAGATCTAGCCGTAGATCTAGCATTTTCTGGTCAAATCCACAGTGGATCTGGTTAGAAAAGGTCATTGTAGTACACAATCAGTCAGATCTAGCTGATCGTATACCAATACAGCGACTCTGACCACCCGTCGACAGTGGTGGTAGGCTATCGGTATTTAATGGGTGAGTGAGGGTGTTTTTATAATTTTTAATATTTTTATTACAGGCGTATTTAGTAAATTAACAAATCTATGGAGTGTTTTTGTTAATTTTTAAATTCTACCTCGTTATAACCACTTAACTCTTATTTTTTCAAAATACTATCAAAAATACTAAAACAAACACACCCATTCATCAGCGCAATTTACCCCCTTAGAATGAATTTTTTATTTTTCAGCTACTTATGAGACCGAATTCTTTTGATATTTTCTGGCAACTTTCACATGCCAGTAGCTTACTCGCATATTCAAAAGGAAAATGAAAGCACATTGTGTCGGTTTCTTTAGGCTTTAGGATAAAGAAAGCACGTTATTAAAAAGTGTCGGTTCATAAATTGGGCTTGTTGACTCTTTTTTGTAATCCTTTCTCTTTCCTTAGGACTTGATATCGGATATAACTTAGGGGGTGTTTGTCTAAGCTTATAAGCTGGTCAAACTTGCTTATAAGCTCTAAAATTAAGCTGACCTGTTTGTTCATAATTTTTTTGACCTTATAAATTGAGCTTATAAGCTAAAAAAAATAAGTTGGGGGGGAGGTACTTTTTTTTTTTGGCTTATAAGCACTTTGCTTATAAACTAGTTTGACCAAGTATATTACCACATTATCCTTGTTTAATTTTAAAATTCCATAGTATGCCATTGTTTAATGTAATACCTTTTTTAGTAATTTTATAATAAAATGTACTTATAAGCCACATTTTACCAAACACATCAATTACTTATCAGTCACTTATAAGTACTTTAACCAAACACGTAATTGCTTAAAATTTCAAATGCTTATAAGTTAATTTTAGCTTATAAGCAATGGTTGCTTATAAGCTAATTTTCATAAGCTTAGACAAACGCCCCCTTACTCCTAAGGAAATCCAACTATATATATATGCAAATGTAATACAAATACATCTTCTTGCAATTTTCAAATCAGAACCCATTATAAGGCTTCTATAGGCGATAAATTTCGGTCTTAATCTTTTGTTTTTTGATCAAGTGAAGTAGACCCACATCTAAGAAGCTATGTTAGTAAATTCACAAATAAAACGCGAATTATACGTCCAATCATATAATTTGCATATTATTTACCAATTTTCATATTTTATCAGCACATCTGTATTATTCACGAACTATACACCTCAAATGTTTTATTTGGGAATTATTCTTGTATCCGAAGTTATGATCGAATTTTTACAAACACATTTTTAACAATTTGTTGTATCATATCTGTAAAATTCTCGTACCATTTTTTTGTTGTGCTCATATTACTAAGTTTCTGTTATAGACTATAGTTTGAATCTTGATTATATTATTTATTTATTTTATTTGTTTGGAGCTCTAGTTCGACTTTGAATTTTAGTTTTGTTATGTGTTTAAATCTTGAAGTTTGTGAGTATTTTAACTAATCCTTTAGGATCCTGAAACTATCAATAGGAAAAAAAATTCCAATAATCATCCTTATTAAAGGTTGTGAGGACTCGGATTCAAGAGATCTACACAGTCTCATAACACTTACTTGGACTTAACAAAAGAGACCCAACAAAAAAAAATAATAATAATAAAAAATAAAGCAAAAAGAAATATTATTTTATATTAAAAATAATAATAATTTTTATGCATAGTATTTTGTGCAAAGACAATAAACCATGGCTTAAGTGTGCCCTCCTCAAGCTTTACTCATAAAATAAAGCAAGCCATTGTTCATCATTCCCATTTCCCACACCTAAACCTTGCCCATCTCCTCGAATTTTGAACTCATTCCCACCAAAGTTTCCATGTCAAGTAATCAAAAATGACAATCCCTAACACAAAAACCATGAAAATTTGAGCATTTTTTGAGGGGTCTTTCTGTCGTGCCTTAATTGCATGCTGTGATCTAGGCATTATAGACAAATGAGCTTAATCACTTCAGGAAATTGAGTTTGACCCTCTTTCCATATTCATCTCTATGAAAATTACTTGGTCAATAAAGATCATGAGAGTGTTCACATTATTCTTTAATAGGTTATTTAAACTTATTTTAACATGCCCTACAGGTTAAATGTTTGGTGAATAAAAGATAAAAATCCCGATGGATCAGATTCATAAATCTTTTTGAAAAACTTAAACAGCTCGAGAGACTTTCATGCAACTAAAAGAAAAGGGACAATTCTTAATTTTCAATTTGTAATTGGATGCAATCAGGGATGTATTCAGATTCTAGCTGTTTCTCTCTTGGACATTCTTTTTTTCCTTGTTCAGATAACTGCTTACAAATCAGAATGGTAATTCTTATTACAATGGATTATTTCAAATCAGAATAGGGTAAGTGTATCTCACTCGCGGTGACATGACATTATATGATTGGGTGATCATACAAACTGTCTATTTTTTCTTTTCTTCTCAATTTTGGTTTGCCAAGTTGGGTAATTTTACAGTAGGCCCAGATTCATGCCAGGAAAGAAAGGTTAAAGATTTATCCTTTAATTATTGTTTGAAATTATTATTCAGTCCTTGTACAGTTGAAGTTAACGGAAAAATTGGAAGGATAGGTGGAAAACAGTCATTTTGAAACTTTTTGGGTGTAAATTGTCATTAGGCCAAACCTTGGGTGAGAACTTGTCGTTCGCTTATTAAAAGATATCTTGATTTTAGGATTGGGGGACAGTGACCTGGCGATGGCCCTATAAATGAAGTTTTCTATGGCCCCCCCTCATTTTCTGAACTTAACATTTGACCCCATAATGGAACTTTTGTGGCTCCTTAGATCATTGATATAACTTAACTCCTAAGGAGACCGAATTCTTTTGATATTTTCTGGCAACTTTTGACATGCCAGCAGCTTACTCGCATGTTCAAAAGGAAAATGAAAGCACATCATTGAAAGGTGTCGGTTTCTTTAGGCTTTAGGGCAAAGAGAGCACGTTATCAAAAAGTGTCGGATATAACTTACTCCTAAGGAAATCTAACCATATATATACACTTGACAATATGATACAAATACATCTTCTTGCAATTTTCAAATCAGAACCCATTATAAGGCTTCTATAGGCGATAAACTTCGGCCAACGACACCTCCTTTGCTAAAAAAATTATATAGAAAGAAGAAACATTAAGCTTTGCATCAAAAGCTCAATCTTTCCATGGCTCATAACTCCAAGTCCTCCACCTCCACCACCGCCAAGTACTCCACCACGACCACCACCACGACCACCACCACTACCACTAAGCTCACCACCACCCCCAACAAAATAGACCATGGCCAAAAGCATAAAAAAATTGTAACTTCTTCATCAGCACCAAAAGCTCAAACCAGTCAAGGCACACACCACCACCACCAGGTTCACCATCACCACCACCACCACCACCCTCACCATCATCAACAAACATCAAAGCCAAAAGCTCCAGGAAAAGCCCTCACTCAACCAAAGCCTAAACTAGCCATGGCACATGCCACGGCTTCCATCAAATCCACCACCGCCAAGGCCACGATCAAGTTGGGACAAGGAGTAGATGTCAAAGTGGTAACCAAAGAAGCAGTAATCAAAGGAGGAAAGATAGCTCATATCAAATAATGGCATGCAAGTTCTCAATTTATAAAGGTATCAAAAAAAAAAAACTTTTTTTCTGAAGTTCTTATGTATGTATAGAAAGTTTCTGTTTAATATTTCTTTGGTTGACTGAATGAAAATTGTGTTTTTATATTCAGGAGTTGGATGCCGCAGATGTGAAGGAATCTTTTGCAGAATCTATACTGGGATTATCAGAACTTGTAATATGTTATGAGATTATGTTGAATTTTTTTTTTTTTTTTTTTTTTTTGTTATTGTTGTACTTGGCGAGCAAAATTATAGAATTATCTCATTATATTAGCAGACGTTTGACGGATCTTGTTGTAGATTTGATTTAGCAAGGCAGTTTTTCCGACTCCCCCTTTCCCATACAGGCCAATAATCGTCACTTGATCTTCTTCATAACATCTCCAAACTTCATGAATTTTTTTACTCTAAACCCAACGTTAGTTCAGAAGGTATTTGATCATCCATTGGATCATCCTTTCTCTGATCAGCCACCTCCTTAAATTCTCTACCTTTTTCCTTCAACTCACTCACAACTTCCAGCTTTTGAGCAACTCTCTTCCCGAACCTGAAGCTTGTAAACTTGTAGTTTTTGTAACAAAAGCCTCCAAGACATAACCTCTAAACTTCATCAGAGCTGTCTGTAATCAGTTTATCAACATCGCTTTCTGTCTTTTCCACCCTCCTAAAGCAACCTTGCACTTTGTCCAGCCGTTCCCTTTGTGGTAGTTGTTCCTCTTTTTTAACTCTCCGAAACACATCGTTCCTTGCATCACTCAATATTTACAATGCAGTAAGTAAGGTATCAAGATTTATTTTTGAGTTCACGTTTATACTTCAATTTTTTAGAAACATAATCTATACAACTTGATAAAGCGGCAAGAATTGTGTCATCAGCTGGTTGTGGTATTGAATTGCAGTTAGCCATAGTGGATAAGATTTCTAATATACAGGAGAGGGAGTAGAGAGTGACGAGTTACAGGCAGTTGAAAGATTCAAAGGAAGAAGCACTAGAAAGGAAGTAGAGAGGAAGAATCAATAGAGTGATAGACAAAGCTTCTGAGGTCTTGAGAGGAAGCTTTGACAAATTGGCATGGTGGAGTGGGTCAGATAGCTACTATGAGAACTAAAGTTAATTTGAGACTGTAATTTATCTTTTAATCACTTAAAAGTTTAAAAATAATCAACTTTGAATAAAATCCATGACGTGTTTATTTTATTTTATTTTAAGAGAGTAATATAATTAATATTCATAAAACATAATAGTCTACTAAATTAGCAACGTGGGATAAATATAATACTTCTAACATCGACGCAATTGGGTTTGTAACACACCATCTCAAACACCCTCCCTTACGTTTGGTGTGCACAGCCAGGGTCTACAAACCCATCACCACGTCCCCTCCCTCACACTTGATGTGCACAAACCCACCATCAACCTAAAGAAACGTGGCTCGATACCATGATAAACAGGTTTGGATAGAACTTGCTTTCAAAAGTTAGTTTAAAGTAAGGATATTTAAAAAAATGCAAAAACTGAACTGGTACCAGTTCGATTATTGTTTTATGGGATTATGGGGACCGGTTAACCGAAACCGGTTTATTATAAAAATAATAAAATAAAAAATAAAAACAATAAAACTGGTTTATTATAAAAATAATAAATTATAAAATAAAAACAATAAAACCAGTTTATTATAAAAATAATAAAATATAAAATTGATTTAAATTAGGAAAAAATCAAAATAAAAAATAAGTTAAAGGAAAAACCGGTTCAAAACTGGTTAAGTAGTTTTCCCCTTAATTGGTTTGGTTTCGATTCAGGTATTTTCCTGAATCAAAAAACCAATTCGGTTTAAAAAATCGGTTAACCATTTATAAACGCCCCTAGTTTAAAGAAGACGAGAGCTCAACAACATATATATTATATATAATAACAGCTTTCCGAAAACAATTTCTAACAAATATAAAAAGCCAAAATATATTTTTAAAAGATTGGGGAACGACAAAGTTTCCACCCAAGGTTTGGCCTAATCACATTCTCACCCCAAAAGTTTCAAAACTACATTTTCCCACCAATCCATCCAATTTTTCCGATAATTGCAACTGCAGAATGACATAATGGTAAATTCAGTTTATCTTAATTTTTTTCTTTTAAAAAAATTTGATAACCTGCCGCTGCCCACTGTCCCATCCTCTTCCATAACCTCCGTAACCACCACAAGCAACTCTACCATTTCAGGTACATAGGTCTTAGAGCATCAAAAGTGCAATAATGCTACGGATACCAGGATTTTTGCACCGAAATATTGTACCGGCCTACGTGTAACATGCTTCTGATTTTTTTAACAATTTTTTTTCTAATGAACGGCCGTCCATCAAATTTGGACGGTTGTTCACTCACATGGACGCTCGTCCATATTATATGGACGGGGGTCCATATACCAGGGACGGGCGTCCCCATTTAATGGACGCCCGTCCATAATTAAAATAGAATAAATTTTTTTTATAAAAATTAGGGACGGCCTCCCTTCATTTTGGACGAACGTTCGTAAATAAAGGACGCCCGTCCTTAACCAAAATATGAAAATAAAAAAAAAAAAAATTTGGGGACGACCGTCCATAAATTTTGGACGACCGTTCCTTACGTTTGGACGGGCGTCCATTAGGAGTGGATGCCCGTCCCTTAAGTTTGGACGGGCATCCATTAGGAATGGACGCCCGTCCATACTTTTAAAAAAAAAAAAACACCTTCTTCTTCTTCTTCGCTCTACTCCATCCCTATAACACCTCAAATCCATTTTGCAGCAATCAAAAATACCTTAACATCTTACTGAACTTCAGAAAATATATATTAATCATGGATCACCTACAGCTCAGCTGTGACTTTTTCATTCTTTCCTTTGACAGGCCCGTTGCTGAACTTGAGCTGCAGACTTAGATCTAAGAATCTCATGGCACTGGTCCATGGTCTCAATCTTGCTAGGTGAACCCACTAACGGCGCACCATCTGAACTCATCATAGCACCTGAATCCCCATGAATAAATCTGCAACTACTTCCATTTTTGCAGTACCCTCTAGCATAATACAAACATGGCCTCCACCCAAACCCATTTTTGCGGCAAGTGATCAAAACAACTTCATCCTCCTCCTCCCAAGCATTAGCTAGAAAGATAATTAATATTGAAAATAAGAAAGAGCAAACTGTATTTCATATATGTTAATTACAAATGAAATGAAGTACAATTATTCAAGAAGTATTGTTGCAAACTTTTTATTCCAGTTTATAAGCAGATAATGACAGAATTATTAAGAACAATGCAGACTTTTAAGTTTAAGAGAGTATGTTGACAGACCATTATGGACTATGAAGCAGTTTGGAAGCTCAAACCTGATTTGAACCTCATCCTTTGCACACCGTGGAAGTACACCAAAACGAGCTTTAATCGTTGGATCAAATGTCAATATCAGCTTGTTTTCTTTCACCATTTCCTATAAATTTATATGGGATAAAACACTTTCATGTTCTCCTTTCGAATTCATGAAAATTTTGAAATCTACAAGAAGTAAAAAGTTCAAAAAATATAGACTTGTTCAACGGGCCTGTCAAATGAAAGAATGAAAAAGTCACAGCTGAGCTGTAGGTGATTCATGATTAATATATATTTTATGAAGTTCAGTAAGATGTCAAGGTATTTCTGATTGCTGCAAAATGGATTTGAGGTGTTACAGGGATGGAGTGGAGTGAAGAAGCAGAAGAAGAAGAAGCAGAAGAAGAGCGAAGAAGGTGTTTTTTGTTTTTTAAAAGTATGGACGGGAATGGACGCCTGTCCAAACTTAAAGGACGGGCATCCACTCCTAATGGACGCCCGTCCAAAATTTATGGACGATCGTCCCCAAATTTTTTTTTATTTTATTTTCATATTTTGGTTAAGGACGGACGTCCCTTATTTGCGAACGCCCATCTAAAATGAACGGACGGCCGTCCATAACGGATAAACGACCGTCCCTAATTTTTATAAAAAAAAAAAATTATTCTATTTTAATTATGGACGGGCGTCCATTAAATGGGGACGCCCGTCCCTGGTATATGGACCCCCGTCCATATAATATGGACAGACATCCATGTGAGTGAACGGCCGTCTGGACGGCCGTTCATTAGAAAAAAATTGTTAAAAAAATCAGAAGCGTGTTACACGTAGGCCGATATAATATTTCGGTGCAAAAATCCCGGTGTCTGTAGCATTATTGATCAAAAGTGTACTCCACCGGCTCCCGAGACGCAGAGGCTGATATGTTACCTCCAATTGCCTCCACTTTCCTCACAATGTGCAAGTGGCTCCGGTTTTTAGTGCCCTGGATTGCATCTTCTCCAGCAAGTGGGAGGCCTAACATGATGTTGGTGTCTCATAAACAGAACCACAATCAAGATATATCCCTATGGAGGCTGCTGGGTTCAAATTAATTAGACGGATACCACTCTTTAAAATAGCAAACAACCAAATAAAAACAAGAGAGTAGATCGCTTCCAAATGGCAATTAGGATTTGAATAAAACAAAGCATTGCTATAACCCACACATACAGCTGATGTTGCCGAGGCAATTCTGATTCCATTGTTAAGAGTTGTAACCTTAACCTTAACCTTTCCTGGTTCAACATAATCAGGCAGTACAGGTGGAAAGGAAACACCTTCAAGTACTGTGTCCAAATATAAGAAAAAGAAGGAAAGATAAGAAGAGAAGAAAAGGAAAAGAAGAGAGAAAAAGAAGGAAGAAAAGAAAAGAAAAGGGGAAGAGAGAAAGCGACCTGGTGCGATTGAGAGAGGAAAGATTCTATATTTGAATAAAATGACGTAATTATCCTTTAATTATTGTTTGAGAAATTATTATTTAGTCCTTCTACAGTTGAAGTTAACGGAAAAAATTGGATGGATGGGTGTAAAACAGTTATTTTGAAACTTTTTAAGCGAAAACTTGTCATTGGGCCAAACCTAGGGCGCGAACTTCTTGTTCGCTCATTAAAAGATATCAATAAGTTGATTTTAGGATTGGGGGGACGGTGATCTGGCGATGGCCCTATAAATGAAGTCTGACTATGGCAGACCCTGAGTTTTTGAAATTAACATTTGACCCCATAATGGAACTTTTCTGGTTCCTTAAATCATTGATCATTGCATTTTAGCCCGTCAGAATAAATTTTTCAGCTACTTATGAGACTGAATTCTTTTGATATTTTCTGGCAACTTTCACATGCCAGCAGCTTACTCGCAGGTTCAAAAGCATAATGAAAGCACATTATTGAAAGGTGTCGGTTTCTTTAGGCTTTAGGACAAAGAAAGCACGTTATTAAAAAGTGTCGGTTGATAAATTGGGCTTTTTTATCTATTTTTTTGTAATCCTTTCTCTTTCCTTAGGACCTGATATCTGATATAAGTATATAACTTCCTCCTAAGGAAATATATATATATATATACTCTTTTTTTTTTTTTTTTTTTTCAAGTCAGAACCCATTATAAGGCTTCTACAGGCGATAAATTTCGTTAATCTTTTGATTTTTGATCAAGAGAAGCAGACCTCTAAGAACTGCAATGTTAGTAAATTCACGAATATAACGCGAATTATACGCCCAATCGTATAATTCGGATATCATTTGTCAATTTTTATATTTTATTAGCACATTTGTATTACTCACGAACTATATATCTCAAATATTTTATTCGCGAATTACTTTTGTATCTGAATTAATGGGCAAATATTTACAAATACATTTTTCACTATTTGTTGTATCATACCTATAAAATTCTTGTACCTTTTTTTTTATGTACCCATATTACTAAATTTCTATTATAGACTATAATTTGAATCTTAATTGTATTATTTATTTATTTTATTTGCTTGGAGCTCTAGTTCGACTTTGAATTTTGATTTTGTTATGTGTTTAGTTTGAGATTATAGTTAAATCTTAGTCATATATTGTATTTGAGTCTAGAAACAATAATTTGAATCTCAATTATATATTGTATTTTATTATTAGGTTTAATGATTTTTGTTTAATTAAATATTTTGCATTTGAAATGTTATATTGATTTTGTCAGGCCAAAAATTATCTTGGGTTTGACGAGACCCAACAACGAAATACACATGTCATAGCCTAGGGTCTCAACTCAATCCCGATTGGACCTACGCTTAAAATCATCTTATGAACTACCCACTCTATGAGTTGAGCTATCCTATAAGTTAAGCTAAACTAGGTTTCAACTCATTAGTCTGCAATAGTCTATAATTAGGAAATCAGAATCTCATTTTATTTTCTCTTCTACTAAGATTCCAAATCTTACTCAAACTATCAAACTTAATCTAATAAAGTCAAGAAATCATATCTCTTTCATAATAGAGATTATCTCTCAAAATAGGACTTAGTGTCCTATTAAGATTTCAAATCTTATTTAAACTATTAAACTTAATCTGATAAGGTTAAGAAATCATATCTCTTTTATGATAGAGATTATCTCCCAAAATAGGACTTAGTGTCTTACTAAGATTTCAAATCTTATTTAAACTATGAAACTTAATCTGATAAGGTCAAGATATTTCTTTCTTGATAGGGATTATCTCCCAAAAAAGAAGATTCAATGTCCTACTAGGATTTTAACCCCTTGAGTTCACTATAAAAACAGAGGCTTGCCCTCTCATTAGAGGGGCAATCTCTCATAATCAATCTACAACTCAAAATTATCTATTTGCTCATAAAGTTCTTGCTTCCAAGAACCCGACGCCTTTGTTGTAGTCCTAGCTTCCGACAAGACTCTTGGTAATTCTTCATCTCCTTAATTCTTGTCAAATAATCTCTTCAGCTTTGCTGACATGAGCGTTAGAATGCTTACGGCAAACACCATCCTAATGTTTTTCAAAAGCCTTACGCTTGTCCTTTCATATGTACAAGTCTAACAGATTATCAGTGACCTCAATCTTACGGGATCAAACCCTGTTTTCATGACGATAGATTTTTTATATCTACATATTTTAATCAAACGGTCCATAAAAAGTGATAAAATCAAAATTAATATTATCATATTTTTTAAAATATATTATTGACAATATATCACATTAAACCTGCATATGCCTTTATGTCCTATATTTTTTTTCTTCCAAACTTTAAAACTTTTTTATCATTTATCATATTATAGTATTATACCGTAAAATCTCCGTACCCTAGCTTATAGCTATACTCAAAGATATAATGAATTAATCTTAAGATGATGGAAGAATCGAGGAGGTCGGAGACGTTGTCTTAACATTATTGAAACCGTGTGGACTCCACCACCTGCCACAAAGTTTGAAGACTGATTGACATGTTTGCTTGCTTTAATAATAGAGGCTGAAAGGAAAACTTAAGTAAGAAGGTTACAGTTTGATTGAGTGAATTTCTTGCATGATATATCAGTTATACCAATCTTTAGCACAAAACCTTTTGATCTTCTATTGCAAAACCCCAAAAATATTGTATAGGATTAATCTTTTGCATCAACAGCTCAATCTTTCCATGGCTCCCAACAGCAAGTGCAAGTGCAAGTACAAGTGCTCTACCTCCACCACAGCCAAGTACTCTAAGTCCACCACTACCAGCAGGTCCATTACTAAGTCCACTACTACCAGCAGGTCCACCACTAAGCCCGCCACCACCACCAAAAAAATAGACCATGGCCAAAAGCATAAGAAAATTGGAGCTTCTTCATCAGCACCAAAAGCTAAAACCAGTCAATGCAGAAACCACTACCCCGATCACCACTATCATCGACAAATATCAAAGCCAAAAGCACCAAAAAATGCCCTCACTCAACCAAAGCCTACACTAGGCATGGCAAATGCCGGGGCCACCTTCAAATCCACCACCACCAAGGCCACCCTCAGGTTGGGACAAGGAGTAGAATTCGAAATGGTAACAGAAGAAGCAGTATTCATAGATGGACAGCTAGTTTTTATCAGTTAATGGCATGCAAGTTCTCAGTTTCTAAAGGTATGTATCAAAAAACATTTTTTTCTGAAGTTTTTATACATGTATAGAAATTTTCTGTTTAATATTTCTTTAGTTGACTGAATGAAAATTGTGTTTTCATATTCAGGAGTTGGATGCTGCAGCTATGAAGGAATCCTTAGCTGAATCTATCCTGGGATTCATCAGAACTTGTAATATGTTAGGAGATTATGTTGAAATTTTATTTTTTTTTCCTTTTTCTGGTGTTTGTACTTGGTGAACAAAATAATAGAATTATCTAATTATAACTGTGGTTCCAATGCCGTCTAAATGAAGACAGTCTTGTGCAGATTAGGCTTCTTGATAAGGATTTTTACTCCACGAGATCATCAAAGTTGGTATATAAACCATAATAGAGATTCTAGTGTCGGAAACACGATGGATTAAAACGATCCAATTTGAGTTCTATGTCGCTAAGAGAATTTTGAAGTCATTTAGAATTTATTAGATTAATGCAGCTGTTAAATTAAAGAATGTGAAACCAAATATATTGCAATATGCCCTGGCATTCCTCCCCACTGTCAATCTAATCTAGAAACTTTCCTTCGTATGGTACATGTGGACTATTAACTGACACAATAGCATCTCCATCTCGATCAAAGTTTCATGTTTCGATAACAACAGCCAAACCCTTCTCTTTGTCAGCTCGATCCGCTCTTGTTCCTGTGAAGGATGTGGAACAAGGATTCTCCTTCACAAGCAAGTATAGAACGGAATGCCTCTTGCTTGGTCTCTTCCTCGCCATTATTAATCCAATCCGCTACTTCCATGATCAATGTGGCAGGGTAAGTTTCCTTGAGCCCCTCACTCAACCAAAGCCTAAACTAGCCATGGCACATGCCACGGCTTCCATCAAATCCACCACCGCCAAGGCCACGATCAAGTTGGGACAAGGAGTAATTGTCAAAGTGGTAACCAAAGAAGCAGTAATCAAGGAGAAAGATAGCTCATATCAAATAATGCATCAAGTTCTCAATTTATAAAGGTATCAAAAAAAAAAAACTTTTTTTCTGAAGTTCTATGTATGTATAGAAAGTTTCTGTTTAATATTTCTTTGGTTGACTGAATGAAAATTGTGTTTTTTATTTCGGAGTTGGATCCGAGATGGTAAGGAATCTTTTGCAGAATCTATACTGGGATTATCAGAACTTGTAATATGTTATGAGATTATGTGTATTTTTTTTTTTTTTTTTTTTTTTTGTTTTGTTGTACTTGGCGAGCAAAATTATAGAATTATCTCATTATATTAGCACGTTTGACGGATCTTGTTGTAATTTGATTTACCAAGGCATTTTTTTTCCGACTCCCCCTTTCCCATACAGGCCAATAATCGTCACTTGATTCTCTCATAACATCTCCAAACTTCATGAATTTTTTGCTCTAAACCCACCGTTAGTTCAGAAGGTTTTTGATCATCCATTGGATCATCCTTTCTCTGATCAGCCGCCTCCTTAAATTCTCTACCTTTTTCCTTCAACTCACTCACAACTTCCAGCTTTTGATACTCTCTTCTCGAACCTGAAGCTTGCAAACTTGTAGTTTTTGTAACAAAAGCCTCCAAGACATAACCTCTAAACTTCATCAGACTGTCTGTAATCAGTTTATCAACATCGTTTCGGTCTTTTCCACCCTCCTAAAGCAACCTTGCACTTTGTCCAGCGTCCTCCCTTTGTGGTAGTTGTTCCTCTTTTTTAACTCTCCGAAACACATCGTTCCTTGCATCACTCAATATTTACAATGCAGTAAGTAAGGTATCAAGATTTATTTTTGAGTTCACGTTTATACTTCAATTTTTTAGAAACATAATCTATACAACTTGATAAAGCGGCAAGAATTGTGTCATCAGCTGGTTGTGGTATTGAATTGCAGTTAGCCATAGTGGATAAGATTTCTAATATCGGAAGGGAGCAAGAGTGACGAGTTACAGGCAGTTGAAAGATTCAAAGGAAGAAGCACTAGAAAGAAGTAGAGAGGAAGAATCATAGAGTGATAGACAAAGCTTCTGAGGTCTTGGAGGAAGCTTTGACAAATTGGCATGGTGGAGTGGGTCAGATAGCTACTATGAGAACTAAAGTTAATTTGAGACTGTAATTTATCTTTTATCACTTATAAGTTTAAAAATAATCAACTTTGAATAAAATCCATGACGTGTTTATTTTTATTTATTTTAGAGAGTATATATTTAATATTCATAAACTAATAGTCTACTAATTAGCATCGTGGGATAAATATACTTCTAACATCGACGCAATTGGGTTTGTAACACACCATCTCAAACACCCTCCCTTACGTTTGGTGTGCACAGCCAGGCCTACAAACCCATCACCACGCCCCTCCCTCACACTTGATGTGCCACAACCCACCATCAACCTAAAGAAACGTGGCTCGATACCATGATACAGTTTTGATAGAACTTGCTTTCAAAAGTTAGTTTAAAGTAAGGATATTTAAAAAATGCAAAAACTGAACTGGTACCAGTTCGATTATTGTTTTATGGATTATGGGGACCGGTTAACCGAAACCGGTTTATAATAAAAATAATAAAATAAAAAATAAAAACAATAAACTGGTTTATTAAAAATATAAATTATAAAATAAAAAATAAAACCAGTTAATTATAAAAATAATAAATAAAAATTGATTTAAATTAGGAAAAATCAAATAAAAAAGTTAAAGGAAAAACCGGTTCAAAACTGGTTAGTAGTTTTCCCCTTAATTGTTTTGTTTCGATTCAGGTATTTCCCTGAATCAAAAAACCAATTCGGTTAAAAAAATCGGTTAACCATTTATAAACGCCCCTAGTTTAAAGAGACGAGAGCTCAACAACATATATATTATATATAACAGCTTTCCGAAAACAATTTCTAACAAATATAAAAAGCCAAAATATTTTTAAAAGATTGGGGAACGACAAAGTTTCCACCCAAGGTTTGCCTAATCACATTCTCACCCCAAAAGTTTCAAAACTACATTTTCCCACCAATCCATCCATTTTTCCGATATTGCAACTGCAGAATGACATAATGGTAAATTCAGTTTATCTTAATTTTTTTCTTTTAAAAAAATTTGATAACCTGCCGCTGCCCACTGTCCCATCCTCTTCCATAACCTCCGTAACCACCACAAGCAACTCTACCATTTCAGGTACATGGTCTTAGAGCATCAAAAGTGCAATATGCTACGGATACCAGGATTTTTGCACCGAAATTTGTCACCGCCTACGTGTAACATGCTTCTGATTTTTTTAACAATTTTTTTCTAATGAACGGCCGTCCATCAAATGGACGGTTGTTCACTCACATGGACGCTCGTCCTATTATATGGACGGGGTCCATATACCAGGGACGGGCGTCCCCATTTAATGGACGCCCGTCCATAATTAAATAGAATAAATTTTTTTTATAAAATTGGACGGCCTCCCTTCATTTTGGACAACTTTCGTAAATAAAGGACCCCGTCCTTAACCAAATATGAAAATAAAAAAAAAAAAAATTTGGGGACGACCGTCCATAAATTTTGGACCCCCGTTCCTTACGTTTGGACGGGCGTCCATTAGGAGTGGATGCCCGTCCCTTAAGTTTGGACGGGCATCCATTAGGAATGGACGCCCGTCCATACTTTTAAAAAAAAAAAAACACCTTCTTCTTCTTCTTCGCTCTACTCCATCCCTATAACACCTCAAATCCATTTTGCAGCAATCAAAATACCTTAACATCTTACTGAACTTCAGAAAATATATATTAATCATGGATCACCTACAGCTCAGCTGTGACTTTTTCATTCTTTCCTTTGACAGGCCCGTTGCTGAACTTGAGCTGCAGACTTAGATCTAAGAATCTCATGGCCTGTCCTAGGTCTCAATCTTGCTAGGTGAACCCACTAACGGCGCACTATCTGAACTCATCATAGCACCTGAATCCCCATGAATCTGCAACTACTTCCATTTTTGCAGTACCCCTAGCATATACAAACAGGGCCTCCACCCAAACCCATTTTTGCGGCAATTGATCAAAACAACTTCATCCTCCTCCTCCCAGCATTAGCTAGAAAGATAATTAATATTGAAATAAGAAGAGCAAATTGTATTTCATATATGTTAATTACAAATGAAATGAAGTACAATTATTCAAGAAGTATTGTTGCAAACTTTTTATTCCAGTTTATAAGCAGATAATGACAGAATTATTAAGAACAATGCAGACTTTTAAGTTTAAGAGAGTATGTTGACAGCACCATTATGGACTATGAAGCAGTTTGGAAGCTCAAACCTGATTTGAACCTCATCCTTTGCACCCCGTGGAAGTACACCAAAACGAGCTTTAATCGTTGGATCAAATGTCAATATCAGCTTGTTTTCTTTCACCATTTCCTATAAATTTATATGGGATAAAACACTTTCATGTTCTCCTTTCGAATTCATGAAAATTTTGAAATCTACAAGAAGTAAAAAGTTCAAAATATAGACTTGTTCAACGGGCCTGTCAAATGAAAGAATGAAAAGTCACAGCTGCTGTAGGTGTTCATGATTAATTATATTTTATGAAGTTCAGTAATGTCAAGGTATTTCTGATTGCTGCAAAATGGATTTGAGGTGTTACAGGGATGAGTGGAGTGAAGAAGCAGAAGAGAAGAAGCAGAGAAGAGCGAAGAAGGTGTTTTTTGTTTTTAAAAGTATGGACGGGAATGGACGCCTGTCCAAACTTAAAGGACGGGCATCCACTCCTAATGGACCCCGTCCAAAATTTATGGACGATCGTCCCCAAATTTTTTTTTATTTTATTTTCATATTTGGTTAAGGCCGGACGTCCCTTATTTGCGACGCCCATCTAAAATGAACGGACGGCCGTCCTAACGGATAAACGACCGTCCCAATTTTTATAAAAAAAAAAAATTATTCTATTTTAATTATGGACGGGCGTCCATTAAATGGGGACGCCCGTCCCTGGTATATGGACCCCCGTCCAATATATGGACAGACATCCATGTGAGTAACGGCCGTCTGGACGGCCGTTCATAGAAAAAAATTGTTAAAAAAATCAGAAGCGTGTTACACGTAGGCCGATATAATATTTCGGTGCAAAATCCCGGTGTCTGTAGCATTATTGATCAAAAGTGTACTCACCCCGGCTCCCGAGCGCAGAGGCTGATATGTTACCTCCAATTGCCTCCACTTTCCTCACAATGTGCAGTGGCTCCGGTTTTTAGTGCCCTGGATGCATCTTCTCCAGCAAGTGGGAGGCCTAACATGA